GCTTCTAGATGGTTCTTTAAACTTAATATTTGAATCAAACTTTTCCTTATATAAATCATTGGAAAGTCACGTTTTAGTTTTAAAATATGGCGTTTGTTATCGAGAGAATACTGTTACTATTCTAAATTGCTTTTCAATGTTTCATTAAGGCTGTGGTATTTTAACCGTCCTTAGTTCAAACCAAAAAAGATCTTATATAATTTTTGTAACTCGATAACTTTCCTTTTCCTCATATGAAGTTCGCTTACTTCGAAAATATTATTAAATCATGCCTTTTAATGTTCTGAGAAGCAAATGAATTCCAATCCGATTATTCTCGAAATGAATTTTTAACAGTGATGTGTGCATGTGCTTAACGCAATGGAGAATTTCTATTTATACGTCCTGGTTTTCCTCTTCAACGTCATAAAAATACTTTGTACTGCGCAATGAATGCATTACTATTCCTTTATGCATTTCCTTGAAGCGAAGCCGTCCAAATTAATACATGAATTGTGACACATTTACTAACTTTCGATTATTTAATTTCCTAGGATCATTGAAACTAAATAAGATTTTCAAGAATACGGTTCGGAACTCGGCCAAATTAGAAAACATGAAATGAATTCTAATTATTTATTTGATACTAACGTTTCGACCTATATTTTAGTTCTTCGTCAGGGCTAAAAAGAAAAATACAAAACAGTTAAACTATTTTAAGAATTAAAAAAAAATAAAAAAATCCAACACTGTCATCACCACCTATGCCGATGACAAGTGTATCCTATCTGTTAACGATCCATCTATTGCATCCCAAACTCTTCAATCACACATCACAAGCCTTGAAAAATGGTGTCAAAACTGGAGGATTAAAATAAATTCCAATAAATCCCATCAAATAACCTTCACTCTTCGTCGTAAACCTATGACTTCCTGTCCTACAGTATCCTTCAACAACAGCCCACTTATCCCTGTTGAACAAATGCGATACCTAGGACTCCACCTGGACAAACGACTCAGTTGGATACCAGATTGAAAGGACTAGAAACAGCCCGACGTTTTCGACTACTACAGCACTTACTCATACTCTCTAAACTTTCAACTGTTTACAAAAGACTCATATATAATACCACGGGCGGATCTACGGGGAGGACTTTCGGGCTGAAGCCCCCCCAAAATGGTAAAACATAACAATGTTTTATGGAAATTTTTTTTTAAAATATACCTCTTAAAGTATTATTGTTCGTGTAATTACATTTAAAAGGACTTATGGAATCACTTAAACACCATTTCATATAGGTAGTTAGTTTCTTTCTGTTTTTCCAAAGTAATTATCGTTATTTTAATGAAAAAAAAAGCTTCCGGGCTGAAGCCCCTCTCCAAAAATTAAATCCTGGATCCGCTAGTGTATAATACTATATTAAGGTCCATTTGGACTTACGGGATCGAGCTTTGGGGCTCTACTAAACCATCAAATCCCTCTACTTTACAAAATCCTCAATGCTCCATACTTTTTCACAAATAAAATCATCCATAATCTGATTTAGCTCAATCCAGATACCTCTACTTCCATGATAAACTTCTGAACCATCCAAATCCTCTTTTTTCCACCTTGCTTCCTCTTCTATTCCTGATAATTCTCCGAGGCGTCTGAAAAGAAGATGGCCTCGCGACCATTTAATATAGAAATATAATGGGAGTGCTACCAATGGGTAGTTTCTCTTTATGTAGTATATGTCATGTCACTTGATTAATATTTACTTGTTGCATTTATCATTTAATACAGTTGTGAATTTCAATAATAAAAAAAACAAAGTATATAAAATTACTGACATATGAATGAACAAAACTGGAAATACAAAGGTTAAAGATGAAAAAGAAATGAGAATTCCCTTAAATATTTATGGTATAACTTTATTTGTCAATCGAAACATTATTTCTTAACAACTTTTTTTTTTTCATTATTATAGAAATCCATAACTCTATGTTACAAAATACAAAGAGATAATATCTTGAGTAATATGTATCTTCCTGAATAACATCCAAGTCTTGAAGTAGGTTAATGACCTCGTTGTTTGATATTGTCTTAGGTCAGGGCTAGGTCTTGTTAGTACCAACACAACATTCTTGGATTGACATACAACGAAGTAACTTCACTAGAATTCATCTTAAAATATTTTTTCTCATTCTATCCCACCTCGTAAACTAACTTGTGCCTTGCAGTTAGGCCAAGATTAAAATTTTGTTAGTAAAAAATTGGCCTATTTTTTTTATCTTTTCCCCTAGCCTACATACTAACTTTTATTTTTAACAATCTATGTATTAAGCTAGTTGCTGCCTTGCTTAAATGATAGCATTATAGATGACTTCTCGAAAAAGTTTATTGTGATATTTGAAAATTTTGCACTGATTATTTTTGTAGGTATCATTCTTTCTCAATTATTGGAGGGACTGAGACCATTATATAGAGTGAAACTTCTTTTAGTGGACACTTCTGTATTGAAGGCAATTTTTATAAACCTCACCAAATTTTTAATAATTTTTTTCGAATTAAGGTCGTCCACTTACATGGCGCTCTAATGGACTAGGATGTGATTGGTGAAGTATCTTGTTTGATAAGTTTCTCCATAACGGAAACCTAAAACCTGTGAAGCGCATATTCTCATTATATCAACTCGATTTATAATAATATAGTTCGCAGTTTAATCACCAGTGTTCACCATGGTTTGGGTTATGTGTAAACGCGACGAAACAAGAATTGATTATTGTCAAAGGATTACAATAATAATAATGAATTTATTTATTCCTTTAAATTTGTAAATTCACATATGAAAAACGAATTATATACAAATTGGACCATTTAAAATATTGGCGGGGACGAATATGGTACTCATTTCTAGCATTGGGGATTGGGGAACGCGTCCCTAATGTTACATAGCTATCGGGGCATATAATTGTTTAATTATATCGAGATGGGAATCGAACACACACCAAAACTAGTCACTCTGTGATTCTTTTTCTGGGTACCTGAACAGTGACTGCGTTAGAATGCAAATTTTGGAATATTTCTTCTAAGTTCACGGGGAGGAGAATACGAAATTTTAGGCTGGAACTCCTTTCTTCCCAAAATGGTAAAATATAAACATGTATTAGGAAAAAAAAAATCTCCAAAAGTATTATTGTTTGTGTAATTTAATTTCAGTGGCTTCAAGAATCACTTAAACACCATTTTATATAGATAGTTAATTTATTTTTCTTTAAAAGTAATTATCGTTATATTAAAAAAAGTTCTCTGGCTCCTCCCCTCCCAAAAAAAAATAAATAAAAGAATATACCTTGGATTCGCTACTGCTTAAGAAAACTAATTTACGACTGTTTATCACCAAATCCTGGTTTTCTAAAGAAAGTATGCCAATGATGATAACCTGGACAGTGTAGGTATAGTTTATAGGCCTTTTGTTTGTTTTTTTAATGACATTTCATTTGTATTTGTTCTTGACCTTGTTGATTGCTCAGAACTAATAGATAGTAAAGCAAGTAAATATTTATGAGAGAGCACTGATAACCTGGAGGGGTTGCTCTCCATAGTTAAACGGTAACGTGCATGTTCTTCGACCAGCTTGGCTTTTGAGGACATTATGATACTGATCTCACCGACGTACATTAAAACATTGGTATTCAAGAACAGAGGTGAATCGGCCAAGATTCATGGATTATTGCTGATTGGGTTCAGTAGGCCATTTAAGAGTTACAATTTCTTCTCCGAGGCAGATCCTCCATTAACGGAAGTATCAGGTGGTCGCGTTAAGTCCCTCAAAATGTGCTGTTCGTGGTGAGATCTTCATAAAATCCCTGAAGAAAAAAAATCGATTGAATCGCTCTTCCAAAATTCCTTATCCGTTTAAATTCCGAATAAATTCTATTTTACTGATTACTTGATGTATTTGATTTGATAATATTATATATATATATATATATATATATATATACACACACAATTGTATTCCATAACTGTTCCTTGGCAGACTACAGAACAGTAGGTCCTGATTATCAAATTAAATATTTCGTCGATGTGTTTCAGAAAAACTTCTTTTTTTGTAGAAACCCAAAATTCTCAGTTGTATTAATAAGTTTGATGCTTAGTTAGAAAAAGAAAATTAAAAAAGATATTTTTATTAATTACATGTTTTTAGTTTAATTATTTTGCGATTAGAGGGGGTACATTATTTATTTTTTAAAGAATCGTGAAAAGGAAACATCAATCAATATATTTGCAAGGAAATTGCTTGAAGTAATACAGTTATATTAAACAGAAAATTCTTTTAACATATTACTTAGTTTTAATGAAATTAATTAATTTTAATGGGTTTAATTTACATTTTGAAGTAAAATTGGTATTCTTAACTCATTTGTATGTACATACGTATTTTATGATTGCAATTATAAATTAATTTATATTAATTTGTTTTCCAATTGAAAAGTAAGACTCTATTTTAGTGAAAAGTTATTTGAACAAGTTAAGTTTTTTTTTAGACGCAGAGAGAAAGTTAGGAGAGAAACATCTTCGTTTTTCTTTCTTTTTCATATTTTAATTATTTATCATGCTAGAAGGCAGTGTACAACTGGCCTGGAATCGAATACTGTAGCTTTCTAGTCTTGGAGGTTATGTTGCCGAAGGTGTCTGTCTATTTATTCGATCCTCATCTCGCTCAATTTGAAAATGGTTATGAAATATTTCATCATTTCCTTTAAATTTTGTCTTATTTATAATGCAAAGAATCAGTGAATGCTTTTCGGAATAATGTCACATTTTTTAAGATAGCCCCAGGTTAGCTACTATTATTATCAATACATTTCAATTGTAAATTTTTTCTTATTTTTTTTTATGTATTTGTATTATTACTTGTTGATTAATGAGTTGTCAAAATGATTTGGTTTATTTTTGTCTTGTTAATAAGCTTTTGCTTATTGTTTTAATTATTTTATTGCTTATTTTAATTAGTTTATTCTGTTTGTTCTAGATATACTAACGAAAACATGATGAACGGAGACTACAAAAATGCAGAAAAGGAAACGGCTAGGCCAACACCTTTCATGAAGCTCTCTTCCTATCTACTTGCACTAAGGCCATGGTCTTTGAGTGCCTCACTTATGCCTTCATTACTGGGATGTGCCATAGCCTACAAATTTTTGCCACCTTCTGTCGAGTTCAGCTGGCTTATTCTCCTGTTAACATTATTAACAGTTGTTTGTGTTCACTGTGCTGGTAACATCGTAAACACTTATTATGACTATGTGAAAGGAATAGACGACCGTAAAAGTGATGATAGGACTCTTGTAGATCATTTACTGTCAAAAGATGAAGTTGTTTCTTTAGGTGTGATGCTATACACTTTAGGATGTGCGGGTTTCATTGCATTGGTGATGATATCTCCGGCTAGAATGGAACATTTAGCACTTGTTTATTTTGGTGGTCTGTCAAGCTCGTTCCTTTACACCGGAGGCATCGGTCTAAAATATATTGCCTTAGGTGATGTTATTATCTTAATCATCTTTGGACCCATATCAGTACTATTTGCCTTCATGTCTCAAACAGGTTACATGGCATGGGCAACTATATATTATGCCATTCCATTGGCTCTCAATACTGAAGCCATTTTTCATAGTAACAAAATGAGGGATTTAGAAAATGATAGTAAAGCGGGGATTGTGACATTAGCCATTATCATTGGAGCTACTGCTTCTCATATACTATACGCATTTCTATTGTTTACACCTTATATTGCTTTTGTGGTGTTTGCTGTAAGGTGTTCCTTTTGGTTCCTCCTTCCTTTAATTACTTTACCATCTGCTTTTCGCCTTGAAAAACTGTCACGTATTCCAGAATCAATCAATAGAGTTCCGAAACAGACTGCCAAGCTAAATATGTATTTCGGATTCCTTTACGTTTTAGCCATTAGCCTTACTGATGCACAAAGTCTTCCATTTATTCATTAAGCCAAAACAATTATTCCAAATTAACAAGTTGTACTTAGAATGTGTATTATAGCGGATTGTTTATATAATGTAATTCTTTAAGTGTAAAATGTAAATAATTTTCAACGAAAGTATATATATTTTTTTTGTATCTTAGTATAAAGTGAGTTAATTTAAAAATTGTTATATTTATATTATAGCATTATTTTATCATGTTATTAGTGTGTCTGTTTAAGTCTATGTAAGTATTTTTTGATGAATACCTACTTATGGTTGAGGTTATTCTTTGATGTATGTTCCTCTTATTGACATGACTTGACAATATGGTGCAGTACTGATATTTATTACTGAAACAAATTTAAACTTAATGTTTGTACAATATTTTATAGAAAAAAAAAATGAAAAAAATATATATGTAAAGCATTGCCTGTTATTTCTAAATATCAATTTAGGCTGCCGGATAAATTTAATATTGCTTAGTATTAAATTTTTTTTTATGTTATAATTTTAAAAGAGGTTGTAATTGTGTCTATATTCTCATGTATTATGTTCTAAATTGTTTTGTTAGACTTTTTTTTTTATCTCTTAAGGACAAAATATGATCGACTGTTGTACTTAAGACTTCCTTGACCAATATTTTTAAGTTCCCATTACACAGGGCCTAAGGGAAAAAAAAATTGAGATAAACTTAACTTATTATCTGTCCTGAATTTATTTCCTTGATCCTAGTTATTGTTTTAGTTTTATTATTTATTTGAAAATTGTATTTATAATTTTATGTTATTGTTCTGTAAATGTATTTAATTTTTTTTTTAATTTATTAAATATCTTTAAGTAGTTTTCATTGTTTTGTTTTTGTTTTCTTGTGCGTGTTATATTTTGACTTAGTTATTTTCTTTAGTTTTATATTTTCCACTTGGTGGTAACTGAATATTTATTCAATTGGATGAAGTTAGTTACACTTTATTTTAATTTCCAAGGAAGAATTTGACTTCTTTTTAGAGTCAGAGAAATAGTAGATATTTAAATATATTACAGATTGTGATTATTTGTTTTCAACATAGGAAAATTATTCTTTAACTGATTTAAAAACTATATCACCGGTATAATACTGAGTCCACGATCAAGCTAGGCCTACAAACTTGAAACAATAAGAAAATGATACATAAATAAGTGAACATATTAGTTAGTTTATTTTTGTATTGCATATTATCAGTTATTAAAAAATAATACATATTTTTATGGTCTTCACTAATGATTACCCCTGTTTGGTTATGGCCTTGGTCATGAGGGTCAGGTTCCTCTTAAGACTTATTTCACTTCAGCTGGTGAAAGTATAAAATTACTGTGCGATATTAATGATTATTCTAATCAATAATTTGTCAGGTAAAATTATTAAAGAAGAAAAATAACTATTTCCTTTTATTTATTATTTAGTGTACTCTAATGAACTAAAGATCTAGCTTAATTTGTTTTTCTTTTATTGAGTTTTTATCTCACTGGTTTCAGATCTATTGATATAAGATTAGCAAACTGTACTTGCACATTGTTCATAATTATCACAGGTTATCATCATAGATTATAGCTATGATTTTTTTCTATTCAATCCCCTGCAAAAGCCCATGATTTATATTGATATTAATTTTAAAATATTTTAGCTTCAATTTTACTATTAGTTCCTGTATTATTAATGGTGTTTCTAGCTTGTTTTTCAGTTAATCAGTAATATTGTAATAGCTAACAATTTCAAATCAAATTTTTCAACAAAAATACATGTTTCAATGTCCCTTTAGTCCAAACAACCAAATTTCGCTAATAATAAATGGTTCATGTGGAGGGCATAGCTTAAGACGACTTTGACAAAAAAATTAGTTAAGTTAGATAAATGCCTATGTTACAGTCACTTTTTCACTAATAATTGACTAACTGGAAATGCCACTTTATATAATTTATTTTTTTTATTGTTACATACTTTATATAATTGATTTTACACACATTTACAGTTTCCTTGAACAGCTCTTACTATTTTGATTAAACTTGTCATATAAAATTGAATGGTCTTAAATATCAGTTAGGTCTCATCCTTATCTCTGGCACAGCTTAAATATTCAAACTTTCTTCCACTAAATTACTTTCAATTTAATTTATTATAAATAATTAAATGTTACTTATTGTCAATAATAATACAGAATAGATAAATAAATATGAACTATGAAAGAACTTGATAGTATCAATATACTGTTATAAAGTAAAAGAATATACAAAACTGGTCATCATAGAAGGTAATGCTGAGGCAAAGCTAATGACTTAATTGTTATAATTATACTAAAATTAATTTACATTTTACTGAATTGTTGATCTTTAAGAGGGCTCCGTTACCTCAAAAGACTGAATTAATATTGGTAAAGTCAAATATTTTTGCCGAAATATAACCAATTAATATATTAGTTCATAGATAATAAATTAATGACAAACAAAACAAAAAAAAAATGTTTAAAAAAGATAGCATTAGCAAATCAAAAATTAAACAGGTTGTTGTTGATTATTTTTAGTCACTAGGTTTAATCATTATGGTGAGATAGTTATTGCTTGGAAATTCAAATTTCCTTAAAATAAAATTCACAAGAATTTTGTTTTTTGTTGTTTTCTAAGAATCTATTAGTTGATTTAACCTTCATCTTTAACTTTGAAATTCAAGTGTTAATGATCAGTTACATTAAATGGATCTCATAAAAATGAACTTTAATTTGTTAAAAGAAATCTGAAATTTGTCAAAAAAAGTCTATATAAGCTTAAAAAATTGATTGCATAATTTTTATTAATAATTTCATTAGAAAATTAATTATACTGGTTCTCTATGAATTATAAAATAATAATATATTGTTTGGTCTTATTAATTTCATGATTTTTAAACCAATTATATTGTTTAAATTTCTTTAAAAAATGAACATAATAGTCTAAACATTTAATTTTATACTTCAATTAGAAGTTCAAAAATTTGCTTTAATTTAAAATCAACTTTTCTGATTAGCTGACTATTGTTTTGGCTGGTATGATCATAATGATAGGAACACTTAAAAAAAAAAAATTGTAAAGAATTTTATGTATTCTCTTGTAATTCATAGTAAATACAGTTTCAGTTTATGATTAATTAATTATTAAGAACATTTTTCCAATTTCAATGAGCAACTTGTATATACAGATTTTATTTTTTTTTCAATTAACAAAATGATTTTATTCTAGGATAGTTTAAGGTAGAGAAAAAATTACATACAAAACATTTCTACAAATTTTATTGAATAGACAATTTAGAATAGGATACAAATAAACATAATTCATCTAAAGAAAAACGTTTACTTGCAAACATTACATTAAACAAGAATTAAAATTATTTTATTTTGATTCATAATGCTGATAAGAGAGGAGGTCAACAATTGAAAACAAACATACTTGTTGATGAACTCATTTCTTAATTTTTATAATTTTTTAAAATATATAATGAGTTAGTATCGGAAAGAAATGTCCATTGTAAAGCAAGAAATCATTATTTATTTATGCTGAGATCAAACTGTTAATAAAAATATTGTAGGGTTCCTACCTTAATAAGTTCCAATTATCAATATCAATATCAAATATCTTATTGAGATGGCTATATTTCTTATTTTATATAATAGTTGGGGGAGGAGGGACTGAGCTCCTCCATATCCTACCCTAACTCCACCTATTCATAGATAAACCTATAGACAGATTTGTCTTTTTGGAAACTTTAAAAACTTATGTTATTAGGTTATGTTGGAAAACTCCATGGATATTCCAAAAACCCAAAGCTCAATTTCTAAAAGAATGATTGTTCTATGATTCACTCTGAAAGTTACACCTTCTCCTTAGATACCTTATTTAAATACTATTGATCATCTGTGGAATGACATTAATTAGAATATTTAAAAATGTAATAGTTATTCACCCAATCTGCTTTATTGAAAATCACCCTAGACCTTCATCTCTCCGTAGACAAACAAAATATCTCCATCCTGATCCTCTTTGACTTTTCAAAAGCGTTTGATAACGTTAATCTGAAGACTACAAGAAGACATAAACAGTATTACTACTTGGGCAGCAAGTAATGATTTATAGTTGAACGTTGAGAAGACTAAAGCCATTCTCATTGGTATCAATCTTATTAATTCTATTCCATACTATCCCCTACTCTACCTATTAGTTTCCATACTTCTGTCAGAAATCTCGGAGTAATTTTATCAATACCTGTCCTGGAGTAATCATGTCTCGCAACTTATCCGAAAATCTATTGCTACCCTAAAACAGTTCCTGAGATTCCGTGATTCTATGCCCCTAAAAACCTGCCAACTCCTAGTTTCCTCACTCCGATTATGGATGCCTTGTAGACGGTGGACTGTCTGGGGGGCTTGAGATCAGACTGAAAAAATTGAAATTTTTCAATCAATTCATCTTTGGAGTCCCTAGACGCTCCCACATCTCCTGTTGGTATGCTGATTTGAAGTGCCTCTATCCAGATTTCAGGCAGAAATGTTTCCTAGGTTTGTTCCTTTTCTGAACCTTTACAACCAAAAAGCCATCTTACCTTCTTGATTTGTTATTTGTGATTTCTGTTCATTCGTTTAACCATAAACCGGTTTCTTCCCTCTCATAGAACCATTTCCTTTAAAAAATCCTTTATCATGTGTGCTACATTTTTTTGGAATTCTCTACCTATCTCAATACGCAAATTCTCTTCCTTAATCTCATTTAAACAGTATTTATTCTATTACCTTCTCAACAATCAATCTTCCAATAATTAATGTACTGTCATATGCAACTGCTATAAAAAAATTAAATACTTGTTGAATTCAAAATATTATTGCTTTGACAATGGTCTATAGGTCTACTAGCAAGAAAATCTCTCTTGGTCTTCATAAATTTATAGTTATTTCAATCATTTATCCCTTTATAATTTTCTCATGCAAAAGTAAAAAAATTACAAAATATAAGAAATTAAATACTTATTAGAATTATGATAAAAGTAAATGTATATAAAGCCCAACTAAAAATAATTTAAAAGGATTTAGATCTGGACTAGATAATTTCTCCAAATTGTCATATTTAAGAAGATTCTAAGCATTTGTATAAGTTTTTTTTTTCAGATTACTTTGAAGATGCATTCTATTTTGTTACAATAACTTTTACTTCGAATCATTTTGTGAATGTGTCAGAAATTCATCTGAATAATTAGTAGATATTTTTTTTTTATTGAGTAAGTAGGTCATTAAACATTAAAAATCTAAATGTTTCCTTCTTTGCTAATATATTTTTGATGGAGGTTTTGATTCATGTATATCAGAATAGGATCCTCTTATTGTTTAAGACTCAAAATAAATATCATTATGGCCCAAATGATGAGGTCCCAGCCAAAAATTTACAAAAGTCTGTAGTTCTTTAGTTGAGTCCACAAACATCATGGAAGTTTGATTTTGATTATTTTATGTTTAGAAAAAAATAAGTAGGCTGATATATAGTTGTAGCCTTCTATTGTTATCAAAGTCAATATTATCCTGAATGTGGATAATAATAAGCATTTTGGTATACTAGCCTTTGGGACACTTAAAAGTTTTGTTTTTACTTACTTGGAGTATCATGATCAAACCAAAAAAGTAAGAAAGTTCTAGTATATTTTAGTACCTACAGGGATAATGCAATAAAGGAGACCACCATCC